AAGCTTAATGACCCCCGATTTTTCACGAATTTAAGTAACACGGAAACAACGTTTTGCTAAATTACCTAAAAATTTAGCTAGATATAAATCTGAAAATTATTTTGATAGTCCAACAAAATTATTTTCAGATCTGTACCTAACTTTTACTTCAGCAAAATCGCTCTTTTTGTGCATATATTTTCCGATCGAACAATTACAGTGCGATCAATTTGACGAATTCACTTGATTATTCACTAATCACTGTTACAACTACATTATGGACACTTGTCGTTTTGTGACACAAATTGACACAAATATCGTTCTGCCTTTGTTACTCATGGAACGCAAAGAAAGATAGAACGACGTTTGTGTCACTAAATGGAAAGCACTCAATGTTATTAGAGAGTGTTACAACAAACTAGGTAAAGGAGGTGGAGGGAGGCTTCGCCTTTTTTTATTCTACAAATTGAAAGCCCGAATATCACGGTTGAGGATTGAGAAATCGCGGATGACTAAAACTAACCCTCTCGTCGCTGACTATCCCCTTCGACAGGTCGCAAATCTCACGGTCCAGATCGGCTTCGGAGAGCCGAAGGGCAGACACCCGCCGCGCGATACGGCACGGATTCGGCGACCGGTCGTGGTATTGCGGGGCACCACGACACTCCGCTGCGAACTGCTCTCTACCGAGGACACTGTCCGGACGACCAGCTCGCTCGAGCGCCCGGGACGCGACTAGCCGGCCAAATCGCGCGCGCTCGAGCGAACGTTTTTAGCACGTCTTCGACGACGGCTTCCTAATTATTTTGGCAGAGATCAGCTCGAAGAGCTGCCGCTCTCCCGATCTTCGGCATCGCTTCCACCCCTTCCAAAAAACGCTCTTGGGGTGGTTTCTCGATTCTCGTCCCATGTAAGAATAGATTACTAAGGAGTGATAATGTTTTGAAAAGATTACGTTTCTTTACCCGTAAAATATCTCAATTAACATATGCAAGTTTGCATCGTTTCGGCTTTATTTATCATAAGTCGGATTTTTTCTCAAAAAAGCTTATCTTTTCTTTCGAATTTATTTTATAAACTAAGCATTCAGCAGTTGCTGAATCAACTATTCAACAGTTGCTTTTACTTTCTTTACCGAGGTTGTATGAGACCGAGTATGATTATACGATTATGCTTTCATCTAATTGTATAAGTCAGAGGATGCACGAACTTTCTCGAGGATATTCACGGATGCTTTAAACTTTAGTGAAAAATGTCGAGGCATGAATAGTTTGAATTACAAAAATTATTGAAATAATGAGTTATTCAGACCGATGGAAAATATAGGAATATTCATGAATCCAGTTCTAAGATTTAAGTGCATAATATCTCAGCATAAAATTAACTCTCCGAAATAAATTTGTGCAGTATTTGTATAATTTCAGTTAAAATCTTTTCAAACCTGAAGAATATTTTCAACATTTGAGTAACGATAAAAGATTGTCTGAAATCAATTAAATTATGAACCCCTTTACATAACAAGGGCCAGTTTCTCTGTCGAGATATAAGTATACATTTGATCCATTTTAAGCACGGAAAGCGCGAAAAGCGCAGCTGGGAGAAGCAAATCTGTGGTCACGGTTTGAGTGAGTGGACTGGTGGAATCTATTTGAAGACGAGAGATGCAACATGTTGGACGGGCCATAAGGATAAGAAACGTACTGCACTTGTTGGCAAACAAGTAGAGGTCGCCGTTATATGTGACGAATGTCTCACATAGGTACGCGGGATGAGGTAATCCGCTTTGTTGGATTATCCAGTCTCGAAAGAAACCGATATCCTCTCTCGTTTATGTAAAAAGTTGTATGCGATTGTCCCAGCTATGCTAAATAATATTCTTTATAAATGATCAGTCACGATCAGAATTTTTTTTTAAAACAAAATAAATCCTTTGAGAATATTAAAATTCAGCAGTCAAAATCGATGTTATACTTTTAAAAAATTAATGATATCCGGATAGAGTTACTACTTAATAAAAGTAATTATGAACGTCTGCAAAATTAATTAAAAACTCCTTTAATGCATCGCGTTTTTTAATTCGTCTGAAAATTAGCTAATTAGATTTGTGGTTCTCCAAATGAAAAGATTGATTTATGATGAATTGTTTTATGAAGAAGCTAACTGCAATATTGACTTGACTTAGTCATCGCTCCACAATTCCTGTAATGTTAATGGCAATGTCGATATATCTATGTTATGCTATTGTGACGTGGTACCATATGGCAATGCGGTCGCATAAACGCGTTTTGATACCCGACTATTACGGTGCACGCATTAACGCATTCCCTACGACACGATATGAAATCATCTATTACGTATTTCTGCCGCGGACCCATCGCCAAAGATAACAGAATGCCTTTTGAAATTTTTATAAATAGCTTCGCGCATAACAAGCGACCAGAAATTATTCGGAAGGCTAAGAATGCGAGAGAAAAAAAAAACAGATATCTCCATCTATGTGTTGCATTAAAGTTTCAGTGTTAAGCGTTAATTTTGCTGGATGGATTAAAATATTACAATTGCCCTTAGTAATACATTTGGTAAGTTTAATGTGTCATAAGCTGAACGCACATGTTCGTTGTGGACACGTGTTATCTCTTATTAAATGCGGATTTAATTTTTTATCGAGTATCTCCCTCAGCGCGCAATTCGGTGTTCTATAACGATGTTTAATTATAGTTCAGGATTGCACAAATTACGTCGCGGGTCGAGATAATTTCCACAGCTCGCGAAAATTGTTTTACTCGAGCACGCGAATGTGGTGGTGACCTACAAAAACTAAAACGAATTCTTGGCTCTAGTTATTATAGGTCGCATAATACGCGCTGCTACTCGTCGAAAAACCGCGGGTTTTACGCAGCTTCACGTGTGATCGGGAATATTAAGCGGTTTTACGACATTTTTACTGACTTTCTCAATGCACACCGAGCCGCTTTATGTTAACGCGAACTTTTCGCGCGAGAGTTGCGACGCGTTAAAATATTTTATTTACTGCGGAACGATACGCTTTTAATCTGCGGACTTCGCTTTGCAAGCACTTATTATGCAACCGCGTATTATATTGCCACGCATTGAAACAACACACATGTAATGCAACAGAATCGGCTCGTGTCGCTCGTTTCATGTAATTTTCATTACGCAATACCCAAAGCAATACTGATAAAAATTTTTTGTTTATCTAATTATAAGATAACAGTTTTAACAATGTCATGTAAATAATCTTTTTTTGATAATGCTTCTTTAAATAATACAACATATATATTTTCTAATTCAGCTTCGCTCCATCATTTCCAAATGTTTCAAATGCGCCATACAGCCTTGGGCCATAAATATAAAGTACCCCCACAAATTGACGTAAACGCTTCGTTACGTCTAACGAAAAATAAAATAAAAACAGTTGTATTGAAAAAAATACATTTATTTTTATATAATTCTGATATTCATATTTTATATTTATTTCTATAAATTTAATTTCTTATTAATTCTCCTTCGGCTTTTATTTTCGTCTTTTCCAAGATAATGCAATAAATTGAGGATACTTTATAGTTTATATTTATGGTCAAGGAACAATATCATTTATGAAATATCCACTAAAATTTTCTATAAAATATTGTGTAATGTAACTTCGAGAAACAATTTTTATATGAAGATATAACTAAAAAGAGGTATATCTGCGTCAAATATAAAAATTTGCAATGCCTTCTTTGGTTTCAATAATTCACATGTTTTTACACGCGTTGATTTAAAACATTCTGCTTCGAAAATCAATACTCTAGAGTGACTTTTGCACTTACTATTCATTTAATATTATTCAAATCATTCAAGAGAAGAGTCTCCTTTTACATTTCGTATTGTAAAAAAAATATATAAAATTACATGAGCATCAAATATAAAAATAACACGATTTCAATAAAAACATATTTTTCTTTATAAACCGTACAATGTTTTTTCTTATGGTTCGTGAAATTTTATATATATTTTTCTACAGTATAAAATAATAAGAGTTATTCTGTTTTCAAGAGTTACTCTGTTAGTAAAAACACGAGTTTTAAATCTCTGAATATTGAATGACAAAAGAAAACATTCTATCCACAATTAATATGCAAAATTCTATATCAGTGGAGAATCACTACGAGGCGGAGTAAAGCTTTGGAAACACCTCTCGTCTGGCTAGCTATTTAAAAGTAGTCGAGCCACGGTCAGTATAAATGAAGAGCAATCACTACCGCGTTTATGAATTTCTGAATCTCGCGATGATGTCTCAACGTCGACGCACGAAATTTTGCAATTTTCACTATAAAGCTGCGTTCTCCAATGCAGCCCTTCGCTGGCAAATCGGGAAAGTTATTCACGATAATCAGAATCGATCACGAATAATACGATATTCCACGGCTAATCCTTCTTGGCTTCTCACTACACTTACGTTCCATCTTCCCGCGGTTTTCATTCCGGAAACGAAGGATTCGTCACTGCGCGTGGTCACACGAAGAACACTATAATGCAACTGCACACCATGGTTGCGCGGCGAGGGGACTTACCAGTGCTTCTGTCTTCAATTCTTCAACTTTTGCACTTGGAAGCGCTGCGGGGGGGTGTGGACCACCCCCGTTTAAGCCTTTCACACTGTTCTCTCTCTTTCTTCCTCTCCCTTTCTTTATCTCTTTCGATCCACTACTCCTCGGTGCGCATCGTCGTTCGTCGACGCGCCGCTTTCGATTGGGCCCTCTATGACGTGCAGGAGAGTCGTTTGCGCGACGGCAAAAAGGAAGCGAAACAAACAAACATTCAAAAGGGGGTAACGCCTGCGCTGCTGAACAAAACGAAGCACCGAGCGCGACCGCGAAATTCACTTAAATAGTCCGTAGCCGTCGCTACCTGGTGGCGAGACAACGGAAGCCTAACTCTGGCCGGAAGCCAATGGCCCCGGCGGCTGCCGTGGATGTCATCGTCGCTTTTTTGCGTTTAACCTTCGAATTTTGAAGAGCTGAGAGTGGAAGAGGGATGCAGGGAAAAGAGGAGAGAAGGAGAGACAGTGCCATCCGATTTAAACGTCATCGATCTAAAAGTATATCTACCATATTTTGACCATCAACAGCATGGTGTGCTGATCTATGGTTCCTTGGTTCACCATAAAGGGAGCAGTAAGTAAAAAAAAGAAAATTTATAATATATCTCGAAATAGTTTCTCGCGGCCGTTCGTACACCGTACAGATAGGAGCTATAATAAAGAAAGAGGGAATATATATATATTTTCTTTCTTAAGATAACAAGGGTGGAACGTTTTCTTTTAAAGTAACAAGGTATCTGTAGAATAAATGACTGAGTAGATAGATAGACACGATGATATATCGTAATTGCTTCTACAGAAATCTTTTTCTTGGTTTGTAGACAGCTTTTCTAATTTTTTATTTATACGCGGAAGATAGTATTATGTGAACACACACACACTCCAAATAAACTCGGCCATTTTTCATCGTTTGTGCTTCTGCCTTAGGACGATTTCTCTAACGTATTATTTTTGTCGAGTTTGAAATATTACTACTTCCTAAATTCTTTTCTGAAAGAGCAAACAAAATTGGGAAGTTTCTTCAATGTCAACGATGATGTTATGTATTATGTAATCATTTTAAAAAAATGTGTCTTCATTAAAAAGATATTTTACATCGACATATAAAAGTTTAAAGTTTCTCGACACGCGTCATTCCATTTATCTAGAATCTTAAAAATAAACTAAAAAATACATCAAAGTAAAAATTGCCGAATCGAGTGTCTTTTAGAAAACCAAACCTTGTTCAGCTATAAATACGTAACTCCGCTTAGATTGCGCTCTCAAGTATTATTCTTATTAGAATTATACAAGGCTCATGTTTTCTTCAAGAACAAAAATAGCCGATTGGCGGATATCCAAATGCGATATCAGGCACATCTTCGAGGACAATCCACCGCGAGCATTCTGTTGGGAAATTTGTTCTTTGGCCATCCCATTTTCATCTTTTGCATTAACGCGATCAAGGTTGCTCATCGCGAGCATCGATCTTTTCTCATCATCGCCCTGCACTCTCTGTGCAAGTATTTTACTTTTCGATGTTAGTATCTTTTTGTCTATATCTTCTATAATTAATATCGTTTTTCACATTCATAGACTTAAACACACGCAACAGGGATGTGACACAATCAAATTTTTTAATATGTAATTAGCGTATATTTTTATTTGAGATTATTTATTGTTATGTTTATGGGTAACATAAAATGTTATCCTATCTTCTATAAGTTTCGTTATACGAATAACAATGATCGATTTTTAATCGTTTAAATGAATTAATTTAAAAGGAATTAATTTAATTAAAGGACCATTGATTCTTATAGAAACTTAATGGCCAATTTATTACAGAAAGACAGTAATTAATTACGTATTCGGAGTACTAAAAGTACTAAACAACAATGCTTTTAACACTTAAAATAAGTCATTAATTACTGTCTTTCGGTATTAAATTAGCCAGTATTAAATTAGTCAATATTAGATTTCTCTAGGGATGAGAATGAGGGATTACATATCAAAAAGTATATTTCCGTGGGAGTGAAAAAACATTCATAGCTAGTTATAATGCACGATTCATAATTTTATTTTTTTGGAAAGATGCACCCCTTGCTCGAATGAACGAACTATCATATCTCTCGGTAATAATGGCATGCTACGTTCCAAGTGTAAGCACTTGAGAGACGCGAATGAGAATACGGGAGAAAGAGACGGGTCAACGTCCCGTTTCTCGAATCTCAAATACATTTAACGTACGTACGAGTGTGCCCATCCGCGTTATGCGCCGTTCCCCCGTTGTGCGCCCGTGAGATATCCCTCGTATCGCGTGTACCTCGTCAAATTTGCCAAGTCCTCCGGTTATCTCGCGCATGCCACGTCAGTATCGCGTTGCATGGGCTTGCTGCATAAGGCTGTGATGTAATATGACGAGACTATAATGGCACCATACGTGATATTAGTACCAAAGTACTGTCCTAGTTTCGCCTCTTAATGACAACGTCAAGATCTTGTCGCACAAAATTGCTTGGTTTGATTTATCTCGGTTTTATTTAAAATTGTAAAAAAAATTAAATTGTAAAATATAACGGAATTTTTTATAACACAAAGGTACACCAATTGATGTTAATATATTTATTTTATTCTGTCAATCATGGTTTTTATAATGCTTAAGATAATGTGTAATATAATTATATTTAACTCTGGCGAAAATAAAAATCACAGCATAAATTGAATGTATAAAGGGAGAATAAAAGAAGTGTAAACGAAGCTTCTAGAAGGCGAAAATTGAAGCAACGAAATGTAAAAGAAGCGTAAACGCCTTTTATATTTTGTTGTCTCAATTTTCGTCTTCTAGGAGCTTCGTTTATATTTCTGTTACTCTTCCCTTAAATTCGATTTACGCTCTAATTTTTTTTTCGCCAGGGAAGAAATGATAAAACTATTAAAGAATTTATATCTTTTGAAATGAAGGGTAATTATATTGAAAAATAAAAGTCGTTTAAACTCATTTAAAAATTATTTTATTTTGTTACCTTTTTATGTTTACCTTTTCATGTTTTATATTTTATTTTTATTACCTATTTTATATTTCAGTTTATGCTAGAATCTTTTGGACCTTATTATATATGGATCGATGAGCGTGAAAGTAGGGCGATTTTAAAATACATCCCTCTAATAACGAAAAACGCACGTTCTATTATATTCTATTTCGAATAATCGACAATGAATTATTCAAAAAATATAACTCTGCTGGCTACTCTGTGATGAAAGGCATAATAAATAACGAATTGACATGAACAAACTCGTCAAAACCTTTCGTTGCGAAATAAAAAGATGAGAATAGATCGTTTAGGACGCTCGGGAGATAAGTGCGAAAAAGTGTGTCATAAAGGTGGATGCTTTCTGAGAAGAACTCTTCATCGCAATATGCTTCAAAGAAGCAGTGGGCAAATCTGGACTTTGAATAAACATATCGGTGCCATATACGCTTTATCGCAAAAGTTAGTGCTGCAGATACGTTTGTTTTAAATACATCAATGAACGTGCGGTATTGGCGATTACATTTCGGTAACAGTATTCGGAAAACACTTGCAATGACAAGTTTGTTTTTTCAATATTGGAACGTATAATCGACATGTATTAGTTACAATTTTTGCTGCACGGACGATGCTATTTTTTTTCAATTTACATTTTAATTATAAATCTCAAGAAAAGCGTTAAATATATTCATAACGAATAAGTCTTGCTTATCATCCAGTCGACACCAATTAAAAGTAACATGATATCTATGTAATTTCGCACTCAACAATGTAATTGTTACGTAACACCACGTTTTATATTTACAATAAAATTAATAGAATTCCTTATAATTAAAATAATGTTAAACAAAAAGGCTAATAGAGGTCAACGCGGTAATTAGAGCGCAATAATTATGATATTAAATTGAAATGTTTATTAATGTTTCATGTATTTAATATTTACATTTATATTGTTGAGTGCGAAATTACAATATTGATGTTATGTTATTTTCAGTTGGTGTCGAGCAATTACCTGCAATTTTTTCATTAAATTTTTCAGTCAATACTTCTCTCTTTACTGATTCATAGTGTCGATGTCTTATGAATTAATCGTCAATTAAAAAAAAAGCTTATTTATTGGAGTATTTTCAATTATCAAATCTCATATTACTGTGCCACATAGAAGAGATGCTCTTTCCATATGTATTTCTAGTCTGCGAAATGAAATTGATTCGAGCAAGAAATGCCCGATTCCCGAGCTAGAGGGGTCCTGCGAGGTTTCGCGGCCCGCTAGTGGCCCCGATTCCCGAGCTAGAGGGGTCCTGCGAGGTTTCGCGGCCCGCTAGTGGCCCCGATTCCCAAGCTAGAGGGGTCCTGCGAGGTTTCGCGGCCCGCTAGTGGCCCCGATTCCCAAGCTAGAGGGGGCCTGCGAGGTTTCGCGGCCCGCTAGTGGCCCCGAGTCCCAAGCTAGAGCAAGAATCTTTATCGACTATAATACATTTTGTGACGTGTATGCAAATATCAAAAGACCAAGAAAATATACGTTCGTCACGAATCAAATAACGAAAACATACGCCATAAGCTGACGGAAGGCAGTCCTTGAATCCACAACACTCACGAACATCGTCGGCCTGTCGAAAGACCGAATTGTCAGAACCAGTTAAACGGCCGTCCCCATGAAACATCCACGCTATCAGCATTCTCTCATTATAGCAAACGAAAATAGATGTTGTTACTTCGTCGCTTACTCTGACCGGCGGTTCAAAGCGCGGCGTATTCTTAGCTAAAACTCAAAGTCTTACGTAAAACCGGCCTACGATATAGTAATGTTTTGGAGCATCATTAGAGCTAGAAACTCCGCTTCTCCATGTGTCTTCGGCTATTCGCGTGGTAGATTCATCAACCCGGAAGAAGCTGCTACGCTCTACAAATGCAATATAAACGGCTATCTCGAATGAGTTAACGAATAAAAATAGAAATCCCGAAGCATCTTTCTAATCGGAAGGCTGCAAGGAATGCCTTCCAGCGAATTTTCTCTGTAAAAACTCAAGTTGGAAATTTGCTTGAATATCTATAATTCATCGAGTTAGTAACTTCCCGTTGTATACATGCCACATCTTGTGCACATAAAAAGAAGAACAGTAAAAAGCTTTTTTTATAGCGCTGTTTTATTTTGACGATCTAGAAAACTATGCTTTTATAGCGACAATATGGTCGAAAACCTCGTTCATAATAATAGTTTATCTATATAAGTTGAACATGTGTTTTGGCAAGTTTTATTCATCGTGAATTTTAGAGGAACTAATTTAAACATGTGTGTGTAAAGGAAGAGAGGGAGAGAGAGAGAGAGAGAGAGAGAGAGAGAGAGAGAGAGAGAGAACCGAAGAGTATTACGGGGCAGGTGTCGATGACAGTACAAAGAGTCGTATTTATAACGATTTTTATAAATGAACTACTAAACAACAAAAATGATGCCATCCGCCCGACAAACAGACGATCGATCAAAACGTATTTTAAAATGAGTTTAAATACTGACAGACTAATGAATCGCCTGCCGCTCATTTCGATCATATTTTCCTGTCGA